TTGATGTAAGGAACGGCCGGCACGGCCTTGCGCCACTCCCGCAACGCGACCATGCCCTGCCCTAGGGTTCCGCGATGACGGGGGTGGCTGCGTCCCACAACCACACCCTCCCATGGGTCCTGCCCCTGATTCAAAATACTTTTTCAAATCTGCAATGACAAGATTAATATATCACTAAAATCTGCTTGAATATCAGGGTTCAAACTGCTATTCAAAATTGCTACAAAATTTCAGAAAATGAGAAATTACCTCTGCCCCTTTTCTTTGGATTGCTAGTCCCTTCCCCTTTCTTTCCATCTTCTGGCAGGACAGAACAGCGCCGGTTGGGCATCTTATTAGCTTGCATGTATAATCATCTAAGTTCTAAATTCTAAATCTGGACAGTACACTACATAAATTTGTTAGTGATCATGAATGAATATAAAAAAGCTTTCCACCCTATTGTACAAGGTCACTACATAAATTTTCATCTATTTTATTCAGAATATGCCAATGCCCAACAAAGTTGGGAGGGACTCTCTCAACCATATTCAGTACACTTCATATATTCAGAATATGCAATGGTTCAGATCATGGAGAATTGACAGAAGAAAAATTGCAATCTGTGGCCGTCGCCCGCTGGAGCTTGCCGCCTTCCTCATCGCTCCTCTGTCAAAATTAAAGATATCACCATCGCATCATCCAACTATATCGACAATGACGAAATAAAAAAATTGTATGGATTATAAACTCATAACATGTGAGAAATCCAGTTGTCATTAAATGGCATCAAGAAGAGATAGGCGACCAGGGCATCCATCGTCTGCCGTCGTGCTCCAGCGAGCCAGCGACCGAGGGTTGCCTGGAGCGGAGGTGGAGGCGACCAGAGCCGGCGGCGGCGCGGCGCCGAGGTTGGTGCGACGGCGAGCTCGGGCGGTGAGGCGACGGGGCAGAAGCTGCAGGAGACGGCGGCGGGGACCTCGAGATCCAACAGCGAGAGGAGCCCACATCGGCTGGGCACGTAAAATGCGGGGGACCGGCTCCTAGGGGTCCTGTTTCAGATCGATCAGCTGTCATTTCGTAGGTTAACCGTGTTAGATCGTTTTAGGTCTTTTTTCTAGCTGTGAACCGGCGCGGTTCAGAATAGGTGTAGTTGTATCTTGATGTTTTTTTATCGGTTGGGGGGTAAAATGCGGGGGAACGGTGGAAAGCGGGAGGTGGGACGAAGTACCAAAAAAAACCAGAGAAGGGGGGACGAAAATTGACCGGCGGAGACTATCAACTGCTCCATTAGAAGTAGAGATATCGGCGTTTAATGGATGAGGCAAACTTTTTTGTCTTTGTTTCAAATAAAAAACAATCTATTAAACCGTCCCAACCACACTTTCAAAAAATCACCTCTCTTGCGAACACTCTTTCCAATAATCGACGAATAAAGACTTCCACCTTTAAGCGGAACCACATTTGTGCATATGGAACAATCATTGATCTATATTTTAAGAAACGATAAAGAATTTCAACTAGAACATACCAGCCTTGGTAAGTCTCCACACCCATTTATCACTTTCCTCCGAGAGCTTTGCCCCATTACAAACAGCAAGCAGATGTTGCACATACGTACAGTTTAGGAAACAATTTACACATGGGTCTATCTCATTTTTAATTTTTGGCAACTTATGAGTCTATCTCCAAACCAGATATCTTTCAAAAACAAGTTCTGGATCCATTCGCAACTACCTTACGACAACAACTAGCAAAAAATGTCTTTTACTACCTGCATACGTTTCTGCCAAAAGTGTGATTGCCCAAGCTCACTATTGCATAGAGCCAACAAATATTTCTTAACAAACTCATTTCAATTTCTGATTTCTAAGAGGGTTTTTGTTTCCAGGGACTTATTGGTCTAGGAAAATAAGTCTTTATAAGTCCCATCTAAATCAAACATGAGGAATTTATAGGGACTTAAAGTGGGCATTTGAGACTTAGAGCATCTCCAACAGCCGCACTAAACTAGCACCGCGCCGCAAATTAGGCCGTTTTAGCACGCGCGCAACGCGGCGGGTCGCTCCAGCGGGCGCGCAAAAACGGCGCGCGCGCTATAACGGGTTGGGCGTGCGGTTGAAAACACTTACCCGTGCGGCGTATTTCGGGCGCCAGCTACAGCGCGCGGCGCACTCGAGCGCTCGCGCCGCACTCTCTCCTCTCCTCGTCCTACGCCCCGCGCGCGCCGGCGCCGGCGCCCTGCCACCCACCCATGGACGAGCACACCGG